ATAAAGCAGTTTTTTCGAAATTAGAGTGTATCAGACGTCATTTTAAATCGCCATTTTGAGCTAATTAATTAATTAAAGCGACTACATTTTCCGATTTAAAGTGATCAAATTAGTGTTCTGTTGGCATTTTACACAGTTGTACTACGCTCAGTAAGATATTCACGAATCCTTTCTCCTGTGTAAATGACATTAAGAAATAATTTTTTAAAAAGGATGAATTTCCGCCATTTTGAATCGCAATTTTGACTTTAAACTTGCAGCTACACCATCATTCAATTGTAGAATAGTGAGATGCAGAGGAAAAAATACAAATCTGCAGTGTATGGATAATTTGAAAAGTAAAATCCTGAACAAAGCGGAATATAGAACAATAGACCAAAAAATCAGAGAAAATTCGAATTAAGTGTAGAAACGACTAAATTTTCTGAGTTTAACTAATAATGTTAGCACCCTATTATAATTTTTATAGTTTTATTACACTCAGTTAGATATTCACTCATTACTTCTCCATTTTGAACGACATTAAGAGAAAATTAGAAAAATTTGATGTCCGCCATTTTGAATCGCCATTTTGACCTCTTTAACGCCATTTTCATGAAGGCCAGCATATTTTTTCGGATTCAGCATACTCGAAATAGGTTAAAAAATTATGCTGGAACAAATAATAATTATTTGCCGTTAGAAGTATTTTTTTCTATAAATCGGACCAGACTAATACTTTTTTTATGGAAACTTGTGTAGTATGAAGTGTGGAGCAGTTGACTCTAAAATGAGCAAAGATTAAAGTCCTTCATTCACATTATGTATTTACTTAAACATACAAAATCAAAAGAAAAGGTAAATGCTGTAAACCAACTTTGCATGTGTGATATATCGATGAGTTTCTTGACATTTTCTCACTGCATGGGTACCACAAATTCAGTTTATATCAGATTTAGAGGGGGAGGTTGTGTCCAAAATCTACATTAGATTTAATGAATCATTTTTTTAAATTATGGTGTGGCTTTGGGTCCGTATCTTGACCAAAAACTGCCCCCCTTTCAAAATTCCTGGATCCACCACAGGATATATACATATATGCAGAATATTATTCTGTAGCAAAATTTGTTGGAAAGATTTCAAACTGATGAAATGCAAATAAATGTTGTTGTGAATAATAGTTGATACACAGTAAATGTGATGAGATAATGTTTTCAAGTGGTATGAAAAGTATGTGAAAAAGTGGACATGCTTAATAGTAAATATAGATGCATTGTCATATCTCTATTATGATGGTGTGTAGTATGGACAAATAGTCATCAACACATTGAAATATGCACCTGTTCTCTTAAAAATATTTTACACAGGAAAATAATTTGCTGATTTTTTAATTATTATTTTCCAGACTACAGCTCTGAAGACAGTTCTGATGCTGATGAAAAGTCCATTGACTCCATGGAAAATGGACTGTCTAACTTGGCCATGTCTCCTGTGGAAATAGTACCTGTAGGACAAGTCACTCAGGTAAATTTCAAGTCATTGGGTTGGTTGGAAGGACAAGTCACTCTGTGAAGTCTTAAGTTAAAGGAATAGTTTGTACCTGTAGGACAAGTCACTCAGATAATTTTCAAGTCATTGGGTTGGTTTGTAGGACAAGTCACTCAGGTAAATTTCAAGTCATTGGGTTGGTTTGTAGGACAAGTTACTCAGGTAAATTTCAAGTCATTGGGTTGGTTTGTACCTGTAGAACAAGTTCGCTGCATTTCATTTCCGGAAATATGCATAGCATTTCCGACATTTTTTTATTTCATTTCCGACATTTTTTGTTTTCATTTCAGACATTATTTTGTTTTCATTTCCGGAATTTACCTGTGCGGCAATTCAATGTTTTCTAAGTAAAAGAAAATGGGATTTTAAAAGTATTTATACCAAAATATTAATAAAAAAACATTTTTTAAAAATTTAAAAAAAAAACAGCTATAAATATACATGTAACACTAAGTCTAGGTAAAAGAGTTCAATTAGCATAAAACTTTTTCACCACATTTAATGTGCACTAAATTAAATGTCAGTGACAGCATCATACTTATGTCCAAGTCACGGATATATATAGATTTACAAAATTGAATTTCAATGATTTATTTATGATTTATTCATTTAAGTTTTTCATAAGTGAAGTTATCAAATCTGTTACTATAGGTACTACGTGTGTCACTGTGTATATGAAAAATGCCGGAAATGAAAACAAAAAAATGTCGGAAATGAAAACTAAAAAATGTTGGAAATGAAAAGTTGATAATTACCAAAAATTCCGGAAATGAAATGCAGCCAACAAGTTACTCTGATTAGGCTTGAGTAATGAAGTAGTTTGGATCTGTAATACAAGTCACTCAGGTAAATTTCAAGACATTGGGTTGGTTTGTATCTTTAAGGATATCCAATTCTCAACCAAAAAGGATAACTCTTAAAATAGTTATTTTATTTAAAAATCTCAAATAGGGGTATTTTATAGCACTGCTGTGGGGCAGGCCATTAATGCAAGTCTTAAGTCATAGGGGTAGTTTGTACCTACAGGTTGGTCAATCAGCTAAGTATCAAGTCATACATGTAGACAGTAGCTTGTACTGTAGGACAATCCATTAAGTACATCTAAAGTCATCATGTTAGTTTTAACCAGAGTAGCACTAGTGAATTATAAATTTAACGAGGCTGGGGTGTGGCAGCCATTTTCAGACTATTTTTATCTCCTTTAAAGGAAGAGCTCCATATAAAGATATAAAAAATGATCAAATTTTAAAACTAAAATATATGAATTTTTTCTTTGTCAAATGATAGTTGACAGCTTAAGATACCATATGTAAAAAAATAAGTTAAATCTGGTGGTTAATTTATGATTAATTTGCTGACCCCCCAGCCTCCTTAAAGTCATAGGGATAGTTTTTACCCATGGGACTTGGGACTTGTGACTTGTGTAAATTTAAAGTCAGAGGGGTAGCTTGTATTTGTAGGACAAGTCCATTAGATAAGTTTTTGTCATAGGGGTAGTTTGTACCTGTAGGAGAAGTCAGGTAAATCTAAAGTCATTGGGGATGTTAGTTTGCATCTGTAGGAGAGGGTAGATTGTAACTATTGGTCAAGACACTCAAGTAAGCTTTAAGTCATATGTTTAGAGGGTAGGTTGTATGTGAAGAACAAGTCATTTGAGTAAGTCTTAAGTCATACATTTAGGGAATAAGTTGTACAGGTAGAACAATTCACTCAGGTAAGTATAATGTCATAGGAAGTAGCTTGTATCTGAAAGACAAGTCACTCAGATAAGTCTACAGTCCTAATAAGTAGCTTTTACATGTACTCTTAGGACAAGTCAATCAGGTAAGTCTAAAGTCTTAGTGGCCAGCCATGTTTAAGTAGAAATTGTACCTGCAGAACAAATCACTCATTATTAATATTATAAGTCTGAAATCATAGCCAGTTGCATTGTGTACCTTTAAGACAAGTCACGCAAATAAGTCTGATGTCACATGGGATATAGATTTGTATAAAAGATCACATTTTTGAAAACTTCAAACGAACTGTTCTCCATCCTAATTCTTAATTAAATTTTTGCAGCAAAGAAGAAATGAAAAAGCAGGTTACCTGTTTAAACAGGGAGGGTAAGAATTTCAAAATATCACTTTCATTTACTAGTATTTCAAAGTTTTACATTTCAATTTATATACTTGCATATTTTCCTGACCAAACAATGAAAGGAGTTTTTTTCAAAACTGTTTATTTTAATTGTGTCTGACATATATAAGTTATTTTGTCTGTAAACAAAGTAAATAGTTTTTATGTAAATTACCCAGTAAATACCTGACCTGAATACCTGGCTGTAACTCAGTATGCAAGCATGGAGTTTGGCACTAGTCATGTGCATTGCTTGTTTCAACTTCCTTAAAACCAATTTGAATTGATCATTTTAAAATATAATTTAAGCCTCTTTAAAGATTACTAGAGTATTAAGATGGCCCTTTATAGCAAATAATAGCCTTTTATAGTAAATTATTGCCATTTATAGCCATTCATGCCCAAGTAGATCATGCCCATCTGACTTAGATTTCAAGTTCAGCTTTATAAAAAAAAATTAACAATGTGAACATGGTGAATGAACAGATGAGTTAAGGCTGTGTTTTAATGAGTCAGCAGCGCCTCAAGCACATTTCAGTTTATTCATTAACTGAGTTACAGTCACCAAGATTTCATATTGGCTTGTATAGGTTTGAACTTTATACTATGAAAATGATGCACTGAACTATGCATTCATTTTTTTTTCTCGCTGGTTTAGCATTAGAGTGATGTTTGATATGAAGAATTATGTCTTATTTTCCCTCCCTTAATACAAGGAAGTTTTATTTATCTTCTTGCCTATGGTATGGTTTATATTAAAAAAGTTAGTTGATATCTACCAGGTAGTCCCTGGCCTCATACCTTTATAGCATAAAGTTACATATCGTGGATGGAGATGCAAATTTTGCTGGCAAACACACAACTTAATGTAGACCATATGTGGGAATCTGCTGAAGTGTTCATAGAAGTGTAAACTGGAGATAAGAGATACATGTATAAATATCCATGACAGAGTTATTATATACATAGCAGTCAACTGTTCTGATTTGGGTCATGAAAATCAGCCAGGGTAGCTCAGTCATTAGAGCACCTGACTATAGTGATGCAGGGGTCCTGGTCCGATTCTTGGTCTAGTCATACATGTTCTCCTTTCCTGTTACAAAATGATTATAGGCCTACTGTGTGTATAAACTGTTATGAAAACAGAAAAAGTTGCATTTTGATATGTTTGAGGTAATTTTAAGCTAAATGCTAAGCCAAAACTTGCCTGTTATTTCTGAATCATTAACATTCAGTGTTGCTTAATTAAATCATGAAGATTGTTATATAGAATCAATGTTATCTGTGTTTTTAAGATAATGTGCAGACTAGGTGTATGGTTAACTTTATAATAATATGTCAGTCACAATCCGTGAATCACATTTTGTGGTATAAGTGGATCTCCTTAGGTGTTTCTTTTTGACGTCTATTACATGTAGTAAGCATGGCAATTAGGAAGTAGGAAGGACTCAGCCATCAAGAATTTTAAGTATCATCACACGAGACATAGGGCTCAAATAATACTAGAACTTATTGCTTCTTGTTTATATATTGTAGATTTAGTGTTTCTGAATAGTGTAATATTTTTTAACTCATTTTCAAAGGGAAAAATGCAGAAGTTTTTAGCTGACCTGAGCCGAAGGCTCAAGTGAGCTTTTCTGATCACATTTTGTCCGTCGTTCGTCTAGCTGTCCGTCTGTCTGTAAACTTTTCACATTTTTGACTTCTTCTCAAGAACCAATGGGCCAATTTTGACCAAACTTGGTACAAAGTATCCTTGGGTGAAGGGGAATTCAAATTGTTAAAATAAAGGGCCAAGTCCCCTCAAAAAGGGAGATAATCAAGAAAATACCAAAATAGGGTGGGGTCATTAAAAAATCTTCTTCTCAAGAACCACTGGGCCAGAAAAGCTGAACGTTATGTGGAAGCATCCTGGCGTAGCGTAGATTCTAAATTGTTCAAATCATGACCCCCTGGGGTAGGGCGGGGCCACAATGGGGAATCAAAGTTTTACATAGAAATATATAGGAAAAATCTTTGAAAATCTTCTTCTCAAGAACCACTGGGCCAGAAAAGCTGAAACTTATGTGGAAGCATCCTGGGGTAGTGTAGATTCTTAATTGTTCAAATCCTGACCCCCGGGGGTAGGGCGGGGCCACAATGGGGAATCAAAGTTTTACATAGAAATATATAGGAAAAATCTTTGAAAATCTTCTTCTCAAGAACCACTGGGCCAGAAAAGCTGAAACTTATGTGGAAGCATCCTGTGGTAGTGTAGATTCTTAATTGTTCAAATCCTGACCCCCGGGGGTAGGGCGGGGCCACAATGGGGAATCAAAGTTTTACATAGAAATATATAGGGAAAAAACTTTTAAATTCTTCTTCACAAGAACCAGGGGGCCAGAAAAGCTGACACTTATGTGGAAGCATCCTAGGGTAGTGTAAATTTTAAATTGTTAAAATCATGACCCCCGGGGGGTAGGGCGGGGCCACAATAGGGAATCTTAGTTTTTACATAGAAATATATATAGGAACAATCTTTAAAAATATTCTTCTCGGGATCCAGTGGGCCAGGAGAGCTCAAACTTATGTAGAAGCATCCTGGGGTAGTGTAGATTTTAAATTGGTAAAATCATGACCCCCAGGGGTAGGGCAGGGCCACAAGAGGGAATCCAAGCTTTACACAAAAAAAAAATATAGGAAAAATCTTTAAATATCTTCTTCTCAAGAACCAGTGGGCCAGGAAAGCTGAAACTTATGTAGAAGCATCCTGGGGTAGTGCAGATTCTACATTATAAGAATAATGACCCCAGGGGGTAAGGCTGGGTCACAATAAGGAAGTCCTAGTTTTATATAGAAATAATTGGAAAATTCTTCTTCTCAAGCACCAGTGGGCCAGGAAAGCTTAGTTGGAAGCATCCTGGGGTAGTGTAGATTCTAAATATTAAAATCAAGATGGGGTTTGGGTGGGAGGAGCCACAATAGATGTAAGAAGAGGGGAAATCTGGTAAAGAACTGCATCACCAAAGTTACTCAAGTAAGTGATGTGGCCCATGGGCCTCTTTTTTTTCTCCCCTTAGTTTTGCAACCAATTAAAGGTATTTTTGTTCAATCAAACGAATTTATCTAATGGAAACCCTGCATGATCACTCTTCTAGACAGCTCAGAGAGTAGGAGGTTGGATTTTTACAAAAAAGTTACTTAAAGAACCCAAAAATTGTTTTATATGCAGTTAAAACACAAAAAATAAGATATTGGCATCTGTTGTTGGCTTGAAAATTTTGCAGTGATCAATATTGCAACTCCATTTTTAGCTCACCTTTGCTAAAAGCTCATTACAAGCTTTTTTGATCAAGCATTAAATGACTGGAACATCATTTATCTATCCACCCAGCTGTCTGACTCTGTACACTTCACTTTTTGACATCTTCTATAGAATCATTTGTAGAATTTTAACCAAATGTGGCTCAAAGCATAGAGGGTTTTAAATTTGTCAAATAAAGGATAAAGCCCTTCTCCCAAGGGAAATAATTAAGGAAGGACCAAAAAGGACTTCATTTAATTTTTAAAAGTCTTCTTCTGAAGAACCATTTCACCAGAAAAGTTGAAAATTACATGAAAGCTCTCTGAGGTGGTGCAGATTTTAATGAATTGTTAAATCATGGCCCCTTGGAATAAAAAGAGGGGATACAGGGAAAAAAAAAACATGGTCTTATTTTTTAGGAAATTTCTTTTGGTTGTAAACATGAAAGTTTCAAATTAAAAGCATGAATTTTGGGTAGGGCAATACCAGAAAATGTGAATAAAAATTTGCATAAAAATATATTGGGAGGGGGGATCTACGGATGAAAATCCACATAAATAGAGTAACTCAGGTGAGGGTAGTGGCCTATGGTCCAGTTGTATGATATTGATATAAATTAACAGTTTGTACTCATATTTTATTTGTTATTGATACAGATTGAAGGGTAATAAAGGTTGGAGAAAGCGCTGGGTCCTTTTCACAGGAAATGATCTGCGTTACTATGACAGCCGAAAGGTAAATCTCTCTGAACAGATTACTTTTTCTGAATCTGATTTTGTAATTTTGACAAACATTGAAAGTGATTTATTAATTAAAATTGTTTCCGTGTAAATGTTGAGTGATTCTGTTTTGATCCATTTTATTTTTATTTTAAACAGTCTCAAGTTTCAAAAAGAATTGTTCCATTGTCTTACATGGAGAAAGTGGAAACACTTGTCAAGGTAAATTTGGAACCTTCAATTTGAATTAAAACGTTTTTTGAATAAAAATCACTACTTCTATTCACCAAATAAAGTTAAAAGATGTAATTCTGTTGTATTTTGAAAGAGATATCTGTGTAGAGTAAGTGCTGAATGTTTAGTTTATAGTATGCTATAATGATTTCTATGATGACGACTTGGTTTCAGGATAGTGACAAGGACAAATTCAAGTTCAACCTCCATACCACCAACCGGGTGTTCCAGTTCGCTGCTGATTCTTTACAGGAATGTACACTGTGGTGCAGTACTCTGATGGAGAGTATACTCAAGTACAAGGTCAGATTGTAGAAGGATGCCTAAGTTACAAAGTCAATGTATATAATGATAAAAAAGTCAAGATATTGTTTTACATATTACCAGTATGAGCTCTACGTAAAAGTGCTTTAATTAAAAAAAAAATCAAGAGTGCATCATCTCATCATGTATTGGTATAGATCAGCATATAAGAAAATTAGGTAGTTCATTAAGCCTTGACTATACATGAACATTATGGCTATTGGACCTCCTAATAAATTATTCTTTCAAAATGTTATGTATTGTCTTTTTAGGCACCACCTGGTGGGGAGCCAGTGGGACTGGATATGAATGAGCCAGATAAACAGGTACCACATTCTAACTGCACACAAAACTTACCGAGATACAGCATTTCATCATATGTTGTTATAATTAAACGATAAATTGCCCCGTCTGAGTTCCACATGGTGAAAGAAGGATCCTAGACCTGCCCTTCTTGCTGAGCTGACCTACCTTAGTCTCTGCACAGCCTCTGTCAGTCAGGTTTTTTAAGAGCCAGGTCTTAGGTCCTTATTTCTCCATATTGACTGCACACAAGGGGTGATTATTTGTATTTTAGAATAACATACTTCGTACAAGAATGTAGGGTAGATTCAGGAGGAAGCCCATAAAATGAATTTCGTAGGTTAAGGTCATGCAAATAATGTTTGAATATTTTAAGAAGTTGTCACAGGGAGATGCTTAGCTTATTATACCTTAATTTTGTTTTATTCTGTTTGTAAATTAGTTTACGGTGCTGATTTTCAGCATTTAGAGGTTAATGAGAATGGGAATAGTGTATATTCATATTTTTCATTTCAGGGTTATATTAAATTTGAGAGACGGAACAATAAGTATTATGTGGCAGTAAAACAAGGAAAGATGTGTTATTACCACTCAGAACAGGTAACAGTGATTTACTACCAGGTAGCAGGATGATAAATCAGAATCCACACTATATTCAATTGTTATATATAGTTAGTGTTCTTATTAGTCTGTGACATTTTGTTGCTTATTTTCTGGGTGAAATGGACTTCAGCGGGAGATCGCATGTTTTAGTGAGTGGAATTGATGATCAAATGATAAAATACAGGTTGGATTAAGACATACATTGTAAATGAGCCCCAACACAGATTTGTGTTTTTATCACCAAGTACATTGTATATATCCATATTAAGTCACTTTATCCTGAATTTATAGTGCTGAAGACCTATTAACTAAGAAAGTTATAGCATCAAAATTAGTCCTAGATAGAGAGAGCAGAGTAAGAGTTTATTAGGTCACCTGGGTAAACTCAGGTGACCTATTGCTATCTGTTTTCGTCCGTCGTCGTGCGTCGTCCGTTAACATTTGAACATTTTCAGCTTCTTCTCTGCAACCACTGAACCAATTTCAACCAAATTTGGTACAAAGCATCTATGGGTGAAGGGAAACAAAAATTGTGAATTTCATGGTCCCTGCCCCCCTGGGGCCTTGGGGGTAGGGCCGAAACCACTAAAATTAATGCAATCTTTAAAAATCTTCTCCTTTACTCCTGGACATCAAGCAGTCAAACTGTTTGCATGATTGTAATTAGTATTGAGTCCTCTACCAAAATTGTGAAATTCATGGCCCTGGGGTCAGGGGTTTTATTGCTAGGGCGGGGCTAAATAAGTATATAGTGAAAATGCATTATTTCTTTGAAAATCTTCTTCTCTGCTCCTGGGTATTAAATAAACTAACTAAGTGCATAGTTATGATGAGCAAGAGTGCCTCTACCAAAATTATGAATTTTATGGCCCCAGGGTCAGGGGTTCTGGTGTCAGGGCGGGGCTCTATAGATTATATAGTGAAAATTCATGAATTCTTTGCAAATCTTCTTCTCTGCTCCTGGGTATTAAATAAACTAACTAAGTGCATAGTTATGATGAGCAAGAGTGCCTCTACCAAAATTATGAATTTTATGGCCCTAGGGTCGGGGTTCTGGTGTTAGAGCGGGGCTCTATTGATTATATAGTGAAAATACATGAATTCTTTGAAAATCTTCTTCTTTGCTCCTGGGCATTAAATAAACTAAGTGCATAGTTATGATGAGCAAGAGTATCTCTACCAAAATTGTGCATTTTATGGCCCCAGGGTCAGGGGTTGTGGTGCTAGGGCGGGGCTCTATAGATTATATAGTGAAATTACATGAATTCTTTGAAAATCTTCTTCTCTGCTCCTTGGTATTAAATAAACTAGCTAAGTGCATAGTTATGATGAGCAAGAGTGTCTCTACCAAAATTGTGAATTTTATGGCCCCAGGGTCAGGGGTTCTGGTGTTAGGGCGGGGCTCTATTGATTATATAGTGAAAATACATGAATTCTTTGAAATTCTTCTTCTCTGCTCCTTGGTATTAAATAAACTAGCTAAGTGCATAGTTATGATGAGCAAGAGTGTCTCTACCAAAATTGTGAATTTTATGGCCCCAGGGTCAGGGGTTCTGGTGTTAGGGCGGGGCTCTATTGATTATATAATGAAAATACATGAATTCTTTGAAAAAATTTCTTTTCTGCTCCTAGGAATTAAATAAACTAAGTACATAGTTATGATGAGCAAGAATACCTCTTCCAAAATTTTGATTTTATGGCCTTAGGATCAGGGGTTCTAGTGATAGGGTGGGGCTCTATTGATTATATAGTGAAAATACATTAAATCTTTGAAAATTTTCTTCTCTGCTCTTGGGTATTAAGCAGATGATCTACCTATGTAGTTATGATGAGCAAGGACCCTAATCTTCCAGAATTGTGAATTTCAAGGCCCCAGGGTCAGGGGTACTATGGGGGGGGGTGTACTTATATACTGAAACTGGATGAATTGTTTGAGATATACTCCTTGGTATTAATCAAATATTTTTGAAAAGGGTGCTTTTTAAAATATTGTGCAATGTGAGAATCTAGGCCTAAGGGTCAGGGGATCATGTGCGATAGGGGCATTACTGATTATTGTTTATTGTTTAATATTACCGATTACTTGAAATGCATTTTTTGTTCCCCCACCCTGCCTATGGGTACTAAGTAAACAAGCTAAGCAACTACTAAGTGTATTGTTATGATGATCAATGGTGCCTCTTTCAAAATTGTGAAAGCCATAGCATCTGGCTTAAAACATGAATCAAATTAAATCACTGGAAAGTTGTTGCATAATGCTCAGGTCTCCTATAAGGCCCATGGGCCTCTTGTTTTATAAGCTATAATAGTTAACCTTTTCATGCCTTACACATCTAAAATCAAATATTAAACCAGAAGAATTGGGGTTGATTTGGTTTATAAGAAAGATTAAGTAATACTGCTTTTGACATTGAATCATTAGAACCTTGTCTCTTGACCATGACACCCATCGAGAAGATTTAGCACTAAACGAATATTAAAATCTAGCTGTCTTGCAGAAGTGCAAACAATTTCATATTAATGATATATAGATTGAGTTATCCTTTTATAAATAAAAAATAAATATACAGGAGCATTGTAAAATGGCATTCTTATTTCTTGTTTTGATTTTTTTTTAAGGATTTTAAACAAGGATCTCCTATAAATGAAATAGACATGAAGTTAGCAGCTGTTAAAGAGGTCGGCAAAGGAAAGCTACAGTTATCTACGCATTACGCACATTTTCTGTAAGTTTCCTTGTTTCTTTATTGAAATATTGATGAGAGGTCTCAAGTACCTTTTTCTCTTTATTGACAAATTTAGTCTGTATCACAATAAATGTACCGGTAAATATATTCAGAATTTCTAATACAATTCACTCTAAAGTCTTCAAATAGGAAATAAATGAGAAAATAACGTGGGTAACTTCCCTGTTTGGAAGTGTTAAGGCCCAACAAACTCTTTATATAATATATGAATAGCTAACTTTTTTCACACTTTTTCACACAGATTGATGCCAGAGAGTTACAGTGAATGTGTGCTCTGGAAAATGGCATTTGAAGAGGCAATAGCTGATGGTCTTGGTGATAATACGGTACATATCACTTGTTTATGTCAGTTATTTAATCTATATCCAATACTTTTTGTATAATTTTAGCATATAATTATTTTTAAAACTTGATTGCTAGTTTCCTTTTATTAAGCATGATGATGTTTAACTTTTGAAATCTCATTTTTCTCAATTGATTTCCTCCTTTGTATCAGTCAATTTTTGATGCTTTAAAGAATCTCTCTTCAAAGTACAGCAAAACTTGTTTAGTACGAACATGGATATAGTGAATTCACGGGTATAGCGATGTTATTATTGATCCCCAGCTATATAAATTTTAATGAATTCCTTATGAATATAATGAATTACAGATACAGTGAAGTAATTTCATAGGTCCCAGTGACTTCGTTATAACCGAGTTTGACTGTATTTTTGAAATACACTCTAGACTTGTTCAAAATACCTTTTATATTTTGAAATTACAAAGCAAGATGTATGTTTAATACCAGAATACTTAATAAAACTACTTGTATATTTTAAAGATTTTGATACTTGCTGTACAAAGAGAAATGTTACTACATTTTTCAAGATTTTATTTTAATACAGGATTTAAAATGAAATCAGTTTATATTTTGTCTGCTTACAGATTCTTGATCAAGTGATGGAGAACCCCAGTAATAGAGTCTGTGCTGACTGCTCCGCCGAAGGTAGGATAACTCTTACACTCTGACACCCACAACACACCAGATAGGAAAGATATAATATATTAGGCACATGTATTACTAAAAGTACAAAATATTATGATCTGTTCAGTTAATGTATTTTTAAAGCCAAGAAAATGAGAATCACTTTGCTTTAAAGACGTACAACACACTGGGGGAGATAACTCTTGCTATTTCAATTGAACGTTTGACGTGACGTCAAATTTAACGTCAAAAATAAAGCGTCAAAATGACGAGTAAAACGATCCCGATGTATATCAATCATAAAAGAAAAATGGGATATGGGGCTTGGCTGTGATTATGCGTACCATACTCAATCAATAATTATTTTTTTAATTAACACGATTACACTCCGTAAAAAGCAAGACATAAAATACCATCCCTTAATGTTTATTTCATTTCATTTCATATACAATAAATTGTAATCTTGATCAAAGCACAGCATTTTTTTTTATTCTGAAAATTTTACTTTACATTGCCGAAATTCTCATTATGTACAATTAGCTATATAACATTCCGATTAATGGTCTTCATTACAATTTGTGCATTTACGATATAAATATTGTTTTTCTTCTTTAATTAAATAAAACAACAATAAACAAACAAAAAACTTTTTACAATGTAAAATCGATGTTGTTCTCAGACCCTTACTGATCAAAGAGGAACAACTCTGAAAATGGAGGAAATGTTTATTTTCCTCCCTTTATTCACGGTTTTCCACAGAATCAGATACATTTACAGCAAGACCTGATAAATTCGAGAATTGAATACTATTAGTATTCAATTCTCGAAGTCTATAAACATCATATACACAAGGTAAGTATAGAATTGAAAAGAATTGTTCACTAGTACTGAAATTATCTGCATTTATGAATATCCTATTGCAGCAAATCGTTTGACTTTCTGTCACTGTCAACAATGTCGGTTCGCATTTCCTCGAATCCAAACAAAACGTAGCAAATAAGATTTTTAAAAATATCAATGTGCGATTTGATATAAATTGAAATAGAAGAAGAGTTTTAAAATGTTTGATATTTTGAAGTTAATGTGGACGAATACGGAATTTTCATTTTAACTTTAGAAGCGCAACGACATGAAAGAATGCGTACAATATCATGAGAGATGTACATCTATGCAAATTTCGATGTATCCCCACGGCCACATACTGTCTCGTTTGAAATAATGACATGAAAGAAACTACAATTATTCCATTTATATCACAGGAGAGTTGAACATACACCTTTTTTTTTAAATAAATAAAATTAAAGAAATAAAATTAAAAATCAACATATTCAAGTTCAACATAACTTGAAATCGTATCCAGGTTTCATATGATATGGATTAATGGAATGCATACATATAGGGACTAAACACTAAAATCCTTCAGTAATTTTTTCCTGATACATATAAAAACAGTAGTCAATATTTATTCTGCATTCATGAATTTAAAAACTAATGCATACCTCCGGGATTCAAATAACGAAATACTAGCATATTTGCACTGTAAACAACGTTTCGTCAAACGCTATTGGTCTGCGGCGCAAAAAAGGAAGGGGTGGGGGTGGTAGGGGTATTAAAAAATTACCTAAAAATCTACATGTAAATACGCTTTACATATGAGAACTTTTAAATTTGTAAGTTAATATATTTTTGAAGCAAAAGCAATATTCCAATTTGATTTTTTTCAAATGTGTATATGTAGATTCATAGCAAAGTGATCGACCCGCGTCTGAAAGACGTGCGGGAGCGTGATTTATTGAGAAAGGGGGGGGGGGTAATTTTCCGCTATTAAATCAAAACTGGTCGTACAAAAATTATACGAAAAATTATGAAGATTATTTTTACTACCAGCTACCTAAAGAAAGTTTTTTACCAAAATTAAACGACAGGTTTTTTCACAAAAATTTTTGAATTAGAAAAGTACACAATTTTCAAGGCTTAGATAATTAATAGTTTTTCAGTTTAAGGTCTTTAAAAATTGTTTTTATGATATGTATATCAAAAAGATGACTATGTTTTTGTGTTAAATGGTTAAAGGAATAAGTCAATGAAATTTGACTTTTGTATCTAACCTGGCTTTTTTGAAAATCAAGGTTTAAGTAGTTCATTGATTAAAATTTTCTCTCCTTGTAAACAACTAAAGGGGGGTAACTTTTGGAAGTTCCTGTCCAAAAACCACTCCAACGATTTTGTCGAAAATGTGCATACATGCAGTAGATATAGTCATGTACTAAATATACAAAAATAACGAAAATTAAACGACAGGAATTTTTTTGGGTAGGTGTGTTGTACATCCTTAAGTCTCAATTCATAATTAATGGGTTCCATATAATTATGCATGTGTTTAATGTAGTGACAGTTATAGGTGTTTTTTTTTTTTACTTTAATGTTATAGATGTATGTTTGTTATTTGCAGATCCTCATTGGGCCTCCATTAATATGGGTATTGTGTTGTGTAAAAAATGTGCTGGTAAGTTTAGAAACTTTATAGAGTTAATTGGTAAATGTAGACTTAGTTTATATTTTAATTTTGACCAGTATGGTGTATTCTTCCCTTTATCATTGAGTAACAAATTTACATAGATGATGAGTGTATGGGGTTGTGTAGAAACTGTTAGAAGGAAATATGGAGTTTTTTCAGATAGGATTACCATTAGGTGTCAAGCATAACATATTAGGGACATCCTCTTTTTATATGTTGGCTGTGATCCATTTATACAGTTACCTGTTTATGTCAGGTCAATATCAGGATTTGTTTGAAATTAAATTACCAGGTACACTACATACTTGTAAATGTGTGCATTCCTTATTTGTAAGTGTATATTGATGACATTTCACATTAGATGCAAAATGAAATGAAAAAAACTTAATTCAGAGAGATAGGGGAAAGGGGGAGGAGGTATGTGGGGGGTCTAGAGCCCCTATAGTATTTCTTTTGTCCAACATGAATAACATTGTTTTATACAAAAAGTGTATAATATACAGATAACTTCTTCTTATGAATAAACAAAAGAAATACCAGTTTATAGTAGCTATGAAAACTTTAAAAAATATTTGTTTAATCAGCATTGAAACTAAATATGTGCTCATACATATGTATATGATGATTAGTTTTGCTACTTTACAATGGAAAAAAAAGAGATAGAGAAGTAAGCTTTTGTCACTCATGGCTCTACAATGTAAGACTCTCAGTCAATACAGACTTGGCTGGACTTTGTCTTTAGTTGGAGGAAGTGGTGGTAGTTTCACAGGTCAGCACTTCAAGTCATTACTTTACAGACTTCATTTTCTATCCATGCACAAAATCCATGCTTTATACTCAGTTTTAATACACAGGGCCTTTTTTTAGTTTTTCATGTGATGATAAACTTACAGTTTATGCTCATACTTCCACTCTTACTCTGGTTTTATCTTTTTGAAGATTTTCACTGTGGACTGATTCTCAGAATTGGTATGATCTATTTGGAGCCAGTTACAAGCTTTTACTGAAATCAAATTTACATTTAAATCAAAATAATCCATTAAATTTTTAGTTTTTAAAGCTTTTTTTTTAGATTTCACATTTTTCTACCTGTTCACATGCCAAAAAAATGCTAGTGAATTTCTACACTGTCTATAAGTATAATAACCCTTAATTAAAAATAGAAACAATTTAAATATTATTTAATTATTTGTAGAGTAGACCTTAAAAATTAGTTTTTCATAGGTTACTATATAAGTTTACAAGGTTAACTGCAATAAAAGTAATTTGTGAGTGAACATCTACTTAGAAAAGAGATTGAAAGAATGTACACATATTTCAGCATTTGTTTAAGCTTTAAAATAACCATTTATGGTGAAAGGCCAATATGTATACCATAAAGATTCCAAAGATGCTGATGTGGACATGGTGGATGTAAATATTGTATCACCAGAAATAATCTGTTTTATGTTATTGGTGTTCTTGTCAGAATTAGTCCTGTCTATCTAAAATGGTCTGTGTATACTTACTATAAAAGATACATGTACTTAAAATTATTAGGTTGCCTAATAATCATATAAGATATGAGAGTTATTAAAGTTACCAAAAATACTTGTACCTGAGTAAGTTCTGTATTTCATTGACATTAACTTTGACAGACAAGTTGAATTAAGGACATAATTCTGCTGGTATGTTCTGTGGTGTGTGGGCTTTACTCCTACGTGCAGACTTAAATGTTATTGATATAATTATCATGAGGTAATCACTGCTATGGCCATTGTTATTGTAACTAGAAAGCTTGAGGAAGTAAGAATTATATGTATTCAAGATTTGGAGATGTGTAGGTTTAAGATTTGTAGGTCATTCATGATAAGAGTTTTTGTCTAAAAGGAAGTAATGCTTACAAATATCCATAACAATAACAAGAAAAATAATGCATTGACTTTTACTAGAGGAAGAAAAAAATAATATGAAGGCTTCAATTGTATTATTAATTATGCTTTTTATGACATTGATTTAAATTTTTTTTCAGGGATTCATCGGAATTTTGAGCATTCCCTATCTCGTGTGAAATCTCTCCGTATGGATACCAAAATATGGACGCCAAGTCTTATTGAGGTGTTCATAAATTCTCTTTAAAATCAATGTGGAAGCAACTCATGAGTTGATCAAATACAGACACTTTTCCAGGATATTATCAACAATAATTAAGCTTTATGTCCTGATTTATTGATTTTAATGACGCAACAAACATTATCATTTGCATAAGTGAGAGCTTCGTATGAAAGATATTTAACTTGACCATAATTTGTTATTTTTTAATTAAGCTGATGAAGGCCATTGGAAACAAAAATGCCAATGAGTTTTGGGAGAAAAATCTACCACAAGACACGAGGATAAACTCGGACACATCAGCCCCCCATAGAAAGGCGCATATAGAAAACAAATACAAAGCCAAGCTTTACTGTGATAAAATTTCCATATCAGACAACCAAAAAGCACTCAATGAGGTACATATTGATGTCAAATTAAGGTTTCCTTTGAATTAAATGACAGAAAACAGAAGTTTAGACATGTGCATGAAATTTAGTAAATAATATTGTTAGCTCTTCTGAGCCAAAGCCTCAAATAGCTAATGCTATGGCCATTTGTGCGGTGTGCGTAAACTTTTTAGAATATGGGCCATAACTCAGGAACCCCTTGGCCAATAGGTATCAAATTTGTCACAGGGTATCCTTGGCCCAAGGGCTACCATTTATACTAAAATTAGGGTTGGGACCCTTAAACAAGGGGAGATAATCAGGAAAACAAAACCAAAAGTACTGGTTGCTAAAAAATCTTCTTCTCCATAACCACCAGGCAGATTTTCACCAAACTTACAAACAAGGATCAGGATATGTCGAAGATTAAAATTTGCACGGGGAATTACCCTGGGGCAAAGGGCGTGATCTCAAGGTCATTTTCAAAGTTGACCTAAATTTACAATTAATAAAAACGTGTATATTTTGTTTACTATAAGGACTAGGATCATCAAACTATGCATTAAGTATTTCTGGTTCTTATTGGCTCGGAATCATCAAATTTTGTCAGTTGAAGCAACAAGAAGTAGGTCACGGTGACCTACTTTTGAATATCTCAGGTACTTATTGGCTTAGAATCAGCAAATTTTGTCAGTTTAGGCATCTTGGGTTTTTGGGTAACGTCGACCATAAAGTAGGTCACCGTGACCTACTTTTGACATTTGATGGCTATATTTAATTATCTCTGGTACTAACTGGCTTAGAATCGTCAAACTTTGTCAGATGATGCATCTTGGGTTTTCAGAGAATGTTGACCAAAAAGTAGGTCATGGTGACCTACTTTTGATTCACAGTGACCTACTTATGGTATTTTATAATTATACTATAATATCTTCAGTCTTAACTGGCTAAATATCATCAAACTTTGTAAGTTGATGCATTTTGGGTCTCATGATACTAATAGAGTTGGAGGCTTCTAATAGAAGTGATAGATTGTACAATTTATCAGAAGAGTGATTCAAGGCCCTTGGGCCTCTTGTATTTCTTCTGGACAGTACCTGAAAATTTAAAGACACTTTTTTATTTATTGTAGATGTTATTAGCTTTGAGTGAAAATGAAAATTTACTGGAGACAATGAAAGTTCTCTTCTCAGGTGCCAATGTAAGTAAAATATATCAAAATAACAAAATATCAGATGTTCTGTTTTGATACATTTGGTCACATTTTATTGTTTAAATACATTTTGTATGTCCCTTTTTCTTTCAGATTTATTACACAAATAGTGAAGGTGAAACTGGTAAGAATATTTATTTGCAGACTTTAAAGACCCAATGTGTCTATACAGTAATTTTGGGTAGAGTAAGGGAAGAGAATACCAATAACAATTTCCAATAAAATTACTTCCCTTGTTTTGTAAATTTCTAATCAAGATAATGTCATTATGTCCTCCTCAGAAATCTAGAATCTTTACTACACAGAGCCATAGTGCACTCCTCTTTGACATTTTCTAAGGTTTAATTCTCACAGCAAAATATAGGTACCGGTATTGTACTTATACAGTAGCATTTTGTGAGCCTGGTGCTTACATTTCCTCTATAGTTTTTTACTTTGAACCCCCTTTTTTTTTAGCATACAAGATAGCCAAACGTTTTGGACAAAGACTCACCATGGTAAAAAAAATATATATATAAAATTTAGATACATTTGGTTGTATATTATTTTAATTTTTCCTGAAATTGAAAGAAAATAAATATTGATATTTTGTCTTTTCAGGAATTTCTTTATCAAAATGGAGGAGATCGTAAGTTCAATCTGCTGCATAAATTTGTAGACTTACTTGGCATAGAGGAAGACTTTCTTGACTACATGTATAGTGATTTTAGTTATGTGTTTAATGTGTTGTTTGTGTTTAGGTACCTCCAACACATACAGTGATAATGATGAGGTATGTCTTTAGGTCTCAATTTTAATTATCAATTTACAAGTCTTTTATAACAGATTTGTCATAAGTCTTA